ATCATCATCATCATCATCATCATCATCATCATCATCATCATCATCATCATCATCATCATCATCATCATCATCATCATCATCCTCTCCCCCTCCTCTTCCTCCCCCTCCTATCCTCCCTCCTCCTCCTCCTCCTCCTCCTCCTCCTCCTCTCTCCTCCTCCTCGGTTTTCCTCCTCCTCCTCCTCCCCCCCTCCTCCGCCTGCTCCTTCTCCGCCTGCTCCTTCCCCTCCTCTGTCCTCCACCTCCTCCTCCTACTTCTCCTCCTCCTCCTCTTCCTCCTCCGCCTGCTCCTCCTCCTCCTCCTCCTCCTCCTCCTCCTCCTCCGTCTCCTCCTCCTCCTCCACAATTACTCAATATGAATACTACTCTGCCTCTTCCCCTGATGACGGTTTGAAAGTGTCCGACCCCCCCCCGGCGTACTGTTTTTGTTACACACAGATTTCCCCAGAGTTGGGTTTTCGCCTGCATGTTTTTCAAAATGCTGCTCTCGCTGAGGCGCCGGCTTCATTTTCGGGCCCCGCTCGTTCCGAATCGTGCTCCGGCTGCAGCGCTGGCCTCATTTTCGTGCTTCCGCTCGTTCCGAATCGTGTTCCCGCTGCAGCGCTGGCCTCATTTCCGCGCTTCCGCTCGTTTCGACTCGTGCTCCCGCTGCAGCGCTGGCGTCATTTCCCGTGCCATGCCACGGCATGCAATGCAATGCTGGGTTGATACTACGCTTGGCGGTGCTCTTCTACGCCATGCCATGCCGTGCTCTACAATGCCTCGCGTACCCTTTCGGGATCATTGCCCTGCTCGACATCCGACTGAGCGAGTAGAGAGGGGATTGCGCCATGGTAAGGGATGGGAGGGAGGGGTAGGATGTCAGATATGACGCGAGCGCACCTAGCTTGTCCCCCTCCCCCTCCCCCTCCTCCCCCTCCTGACTCCTCCTCCTCCTCCTCCTCCTCCTCCTCCTTATCCTCCTCCTCCTTCTCCTCCTTCTCCTCCTCCTTCTCGTCCTCCTCATCCGCATGCTCATTCCTCCTCATCCGCCTGCTCATTTCTCCTCCTCGGTCCTCCTCCTCCTCATCATCCTCCTCGTCCTCGTCCCCCTCCTCCTCCTCCCTCCTCCTCCTCCTCCTCCCCCTCCTCCTCCTCATCCGCCTGCTCATTCCTCCTCATCCGCCTGCTCATTTCTCCTCCTCGGTCCTCCTCCTCCTCCTCCTCCTCCCCCTTTTGGCCGGCCGATGGCGGTTCCATCCGGGCCCTCCCATCCGAACGATAAAAGATCAATACAAAGTCGTCGCATTTTCTCTCAGCATGGCCTTTCTTGTCGTCGATGATGTGAAATGCGTAGCAGGAATAGGACGCGGCGCACATCGCGCGCGGCCGTCAATCCGGGCCCTCCCATCCGAACTATAAAAATACAACACGAAATCGCTGCTTGTCTCTTAACATGGCCTGTCTTGTCGTCGACGATGCGAAATGCGTAGCAGGAACAGGACGCGGCGCACATCGCGCGCGGCCGTCAATCCGGGCCCTCCCATCCTATTTGTAAAAAGTCCATACAAAGTCGCTGCTGTTTCTCTCAGCATGGCCTGTCTTGTCGCCGACGATGCGAAATGCGTGGCATGAACGCGACGCGGCGCACATCGCGCGCGGACGTCTTGGGCAACCCCAAGCGGGAAGGGCCATCCCACCAGTCAAAAAAACAATACAAAGTCTACTTGTCTCTTCTCAACGTGGACTTTCTTGTCGTCGGCGCTGCGAAATGCGTGGCAAGAATGGGGCGCGGCGCACCCTCGCGCGACAGGACGAAGTGTCGCTCTCGCCTTGGCGCCAAGCGCATGTTCTCCGAAAGTTGCACTCCCGCACAGGCGCAGCGCACAGATTTCGCTCGCCAATTCGTTGGGCGCCTGGGGCCTCCCAGGGCCTCGTGGATTCCTCTTGGGGGCCTCCTGAGGCTTCCAGGAGCCTCCAGCTCGCCGGTTCGTCACAGGACGAAGCGTCGCTCTCGCCTCGGCGTCGCGCGCATGTCTTCTGGAAGCTGCGCTCCCGCACAGGCGCAGCGCACACGTGTCTTTCGTTCGCCAATTCGTCGGGCGCCCGGGGCCTCCCAGGGCCTCCTGGGACATCCCGGGGCATATAGTGCCTCCTGTGGCCAGCCCAGGGCCTCGTGGATTCTCCTGGGGCCTCCTGAGGCTTCTTGGGGCCTCCAGCTCGCCAATTCGTAGGGCGCCCGGGGCCTCCCAGGGCCTCCTGGAACATCCCGGGGCATGATAGGCCCTCCTGGGGCCAGCCCAGGGCCTCGTGGATTCTCTTGGGGCCTGAGGCTTCCTGGGGCCTCCAGGTGCATCCTCGGCTCGTGCTAAAATGCCAGCGCAGCCTTTGAGACGCGCCAGGAATTTCCCATCGGTAACCGCCATCGCGGCTGCATCAGCTGTGCCAAACCACCTTGCCGATCTGATTTCGGCCCCCATCTGCGTCAGCACTGTTTCTTGTGTTGTGGTAGGGCGGGTGGGAATGGGCATGCCATACTTGACTCGCTCGAGCTGGCTTACTTGACTCCTCCTCCTCCCCCTCCTCCTCCTCCTCCTCCTCCTCCTCCTCCTCCTCCTCCCCTCCTCCTCCTCGTGACTCCTCGTCCTCCTCCTCCTCCTCCTCCTCCTCCTCCTCCTCCTCCTCCTCATCCCCAGCATCATCACCATCATCATCATCATCATCATCATCATCATCATCATCATCATCATCATCATCATCAGCATCATCAGCCTCATCATCCTCATCATCCTCATCATCCTCATCATCATCAGCATCATCATCATCATCAGTATCATCAGTATCATCATCATCATCATCATCATCATCATCATCATCATCATCATCATCATCCGCCTGCTCATTCCTCCTCATCCGCCTGCTCATTCCTCCTCCTCGCTCATCCTCCTCCTCATCATCATCCTCCTCATCCTCCTCTTCCTCCTCCTCCTCCTCCTCATCCTCATCCTCCTCCTCCTCCTCGGTCCTCCTCCTCCTCCTCCTCCTTCTCCTGCCCCCCTCCTCCTCCTGACTCCTCCTCCTCGTCCTCCTCCTCCTCATCCGCCTGCTCATCCCTCCTCATCCGCCTGCTAGTTTCTCCTCCTCGGTCCTCCTCCTCCTCCTCCTCCTCGTCCTCCTCCTCCTCCTCCTCCTCATCCTTCTCCTCCTTCTCCCTCTTCCTCCTCCTCCTCCTCCTCCTCCTCCTCCTCCTCCTCCTTCTCCTCCTCCTCCTCCTCCTCCTCCTCCTCCTCCTCCTCCTCCTCCTCCTCCTCCTCCCCCCCCCTCCTCCTCCTGACTCCTCCTCCTCGTCCTCCTCCTATTCCTCCTTCTCCTCCTCCTCCTCCTTCTCTTCCTCATCCTCATCCGCTTGCTCATTCCTCCTCATCCGCCTGCTCATTCCTCATACTCCTCCTCATCCTCCTCCTCTTCGGAACCCTTCTGGGCACGCTCGACCTCGTCCTCGTCCTCCTCCCCCTCCGTAGTCATCTTGGCTCAGTATGTCAATTCTTTCGTAAGCGAAATGGATACCGCTTGTCCGCGGCCAGAGTCCATTTTCGGGTGAGCTCCCGGTGGAGCACTCCCCGACTCCCTCAGACGGCTGGGTGGGTAAGCGGTGGAGTTTCCCGTTCTTCTTCGGTTTTGTGATTCCATAAGTGCGAATGGTGCGGGCAAGAAGAAAGCCAAGAAGAAGCTGGGTGGTGCTGATCGTGCTGACCCTCTCGCTTGGGACCAATCCTCGCCCCGCTGCGGGTGCTCGCGAGGACGACAGGTCTCGCTCCAGCCGCGCCAACAGCCACGACGAGCACGACGAAGACATCTACGAGCACATCCGCGCCCTTTGTACCGCTGAGGCCCTCGACCAGTTCGAGACGCAGCGAGACCAGATCCAGGCCTCCATCGCTTCCGTCGCTGGCGAGGCAGCCAAGGCTGGCGCCGACCCTCTCGGCGAAGCCCGAGGCTCGCACAAGCAGGCTGTCCGGAACGCCCCTCAAGCTCGAGCGAGGCTGGACGCGGCTCCCGCCCCCCCAGCGCTACGGGCCCCCAGGCACAGCCCAACATCGGCCTCGACAGGAGTCCGTTCCGAATTCGTCGGGGCATCCACGGGGAGATGCTGCTCAACACCATGCGACAGCGATTTTTCCTGAACACAAGTTCTACCGCAAGCAGGGCTGGAACCCAGAAGCCTGGACACCGCTCGTTCGTATCACCCCTCGTCCAGGTCGACAACCAAAAACGTTCGAGTTCAATGACGTGGGCCTGGCGGCTCGGAACTGGGTTCGCATTACTTTCAAGGCCGACATCGACGCCATCGCCCAGCCTGACGCCGAACCAGAATGGAGCCCTTAGCTACTACATGGCCCCCAAGGCCAAAACCTCTGCCGGCTTCGACGTGGCCCTCTAGTCCTTTGATTTCTGTTCTTGGAACGCTAGGGCGCTGCTACGCTGGAGAGGCATCATGGCATCGACTAAGGCACGCTATACCCACACGTTCCTCAGAGACAGCATCATCGCTATCCAGGGGGCCCACCAGTCGCAGTCCGAGGTGATAGCGTTCTTCTTCAAGTAGGTCAGCCACAAGCGCACAACGTTCGGCTCGTCCAGCCCCGCTGCTGCTGGTGGCGCGCCCACGGTGCCCCCTTTCTCCCAGCTCGCCCTGGACCATACGTTGGCTTCCCTGCTGGTCCCTGGGAGAACCCCCAGCATCTCGACTGAGCTACCTGAAGCTAGCTTGCGCCACTACGGCATCCACAAGCATGACCTCTCGCCCGCCCAGGCCAACTTGGTCACGGAATTCAGCACTTCTAGCACCGCTCGGGCCCGCGAGGACCCTTTGCGGCTCATCGTGGTCACCGTCGGGGATTTCAATCTTGCTCCGCATGATATTCTTCTGCTGGCTGCTCCATAACCCAGGCTCATCCTGCTCAGAACGGAGGGCGCCCGCATAAGCACGAGTGGTATCAAGCATGTGACCAGCCCGCGGAGGCGGCCGCCTCGGACCCGACTCACTACAACGGGGATCCTGACACCCCGGCGACGCTGGACCGACCCTTTCCCTCTCCACGCAGCTGGCTGCTGCGCCAGCTCTCGACGACGACAATTTGCGGCGCGCCCGAGGAGCATCCGGACCGAGGCACCAGCGATAGCGCGGCGATCTCCATCTCGCTCAAGAATCGCTCTGACCTGCCCCGCCCTGCGCACACCTACCCGACGGTCGCGCGCAAGAAGGGGCGCTCTCGAGCAGCGCATCCAGCGCCTGATCGACTGGGAACACCATGGCCCCATCGGCTCGCCCTCCCCTCTCCGCCACGAACGAGCGAAGGTGTTCCTACAGGAGGCCGCCGCAGAGTCCTCCAAGCTATTCGCCAACGGCGACTGCGAGTCGCCCCAGTGCCAGCTGGCCCTCGCGCAGCAGGCGGCTCCAGCGCCACGGCGCAACGGCTGGTGGTTGGCGACGGAACTCCTGGCTGCATCTGAACCTTTCAGGGACGCTTTCGGATCCGTCGACGGCAGAGTGACGCTCGCTCGCCGACCCCCCGGCTATTGAGTCCTGGACCTCGCACGCCCAGCTCGCTGCTGACTGCGGGTCCCGTTCGGCGAGAAGCAATACCTCAGCGACATTGCCGACGGCACCCTCGCTCACTCTAGCGGCGAGCAAAAGGTCGCCGCGGCCACAGGGCACCGGGGACCCGTCTTCTCAGCGGTCGATATCAACCCCACCGAGGCGCGCACGCACATTCGCGACCAGCTCGGCCCCGCCGCGGCTGTCTCTGCCACCCCCGCCTTCGCGTTCGTCGCTGGGTCCGGCTGCCGCTCGTCTCTCTTCCTAGTCCTCTGCGCCTGGCTTGGACGGCGCCCCGCGCGTCGCGCGGTGCGCCCTCCCCAGAGCGCTTGGATTTCTCATGGGACGCGACTGCCCGGCCCCTCAGCGGCCACCAGTTATTCCGCGCCGAGCCCGCAACCAAGCACGCCTTCCTCCCGGAATGCGCCCAGGACGACGACGAGCACGACGGCGTCTTCCGCGCGGCCCCTGACCCGCGCATCCTCGGCTTCCGCGACACCACTCAAGATCGCCAGCGCCACGCCCAAAGTGGCCGTCGCCCCCGTGGTTCAACGAATTGTTCCTGCACCGCATAACTTGCTTCATCGCCAGACGCAAGTTCGCCGAGCACATCATCGAAGTAGACCCCCTGGCGCGCTGCTCGCCTAGCCCTGGAGCCCCTCGCGGGACGCCGCTGCTCGCCGCTCTTGACCTCGGCCAGGCGTCGCCGAGCCCCTCGCCGGAACGCGCGACGCCTGTCCCGTCGCCCTGGGGCGCCCCCCTGCGGGCCTTGTCCGGGCGGTGGGTGGGGGGCCTTTCCGCTTTCGCGGCTGCCGCTTCGACCTCGAACCATCAGGCGACCGCGATGTTCCGCATTCCTCCTCCTCCTCCTCCTCCTCCTCCTCCTCCTTCTCCTCCTCCTCCTCCTCCTCCTCCTCCTCCTCCTCCTCCTCCTCCGCCTCCTCCTCCTCCTCCTCGCACTGTCCAGGGCCGCGCACCTGTCCGGCACGCTCGTCGCCCCGTCGACGGCCCCGGCGCCCCTCCACGTCCGCGCGGGGCCGGGCGCCCCTGGGCCCGGCGCGCCCCCCGCGCGCGCGCAGACGACATTGGCGAGGCTTTACAAGTCAGGCCCTTCCCAGGCTCTTCTTGGTCATGGACGCGGCGGCGGGCAACGCTGCGCTCTACTTCAATCCAGCCAGGCGCTTCCTGGCCCCGCCCCTCACATCCCTCCGCGCGAAGGTTCAGAACCGCGACGAGGGGGTTCTTGGACGGCCAGGTGCCGCGATGGGCTCGCTTCCGAATTACCGAAAAGTCGAAGCACTTGGGCTGCTGGCTCGGCCCCGCGGCTGCGCCGATGGATTCCTTCTTGGCCCCATGACAGAAATTCGGGCAATGGCTCCAACTCATGGCCGTGACATCGGCACCGCCGCCCTTCCACGCGCACATATACAACGCGCGGGCCGCCCCAACCCTCTCGCACGTTGGTCAGTCATTCGTCGTGCCCGTGGAGTTCGGCAAGCGCGAGCTTCGCGGTCTCGGGAAGCTCACCAGACATCCTTCAGGAGGGAAAGAAACACACAGACACAATCAATCGTCGACTTCCAGGAAACATGGGAAAATATGGGAAGTGGGGGGAAGACAAAAACCCAGAGAATACATGAAAATACAAGGATTTGTTTGATTTGTGTGTATTTTGTTTGTGTTTGTGGGCCCCTTGAATCCTGGGCGCGCTCTGTGACGGGTGGATTGTGCCACGCGGCGCGAGCGGGGCGTTCCCAAGCATGTCTCCGCCACCGCGACCGCCCGAGCAAAATGTCGCCGCGATCGGCGACGCGCGCGCACTCGGCACTCCGCGAACACCTGCCAACGCTCCTCCTCCTCCTCCTCCTCCTCCTCCTCCTCCTCCTCCTCCTCCTCCTCCTCCCTCCTCCTCCTCCTCCTCCTCCTCCTCCTCCTCCTCCTCCTCCTCCTCCTCCTCCTCCTCCTCCTCCTCCCCTCTGGCTGATCTGGCTGCCGGTCTGTCGCCTGACTTCTCGTCCTCGCCCGCCATCGCGGAGACGCTCGACCTCGCCGCGCGCGGTCGCGCCCCTTCCCCCCACCATACAGCCGGGGCCCTGAAGAAGGAACCCTTTTCGTTGGGGAGGGGCTCGGTGTTCCTTGATTGTTTTACAGTTTGCCTTGGGCTTTCCTTGGGTTTTCCATGGGGAATCGAAGTTTAAGTTAAGGGAAACAGGGGCCTCGTTCCTCATTTAGGGTTCCTTAGGTCCAGGCCCCGACTGTACGGGCACGGCGCCTGCCTGGCGCGCAGTGGACCACCTGCACAGCATCGGCGACACTAACGAACAACCCCAGCTGATCGCATGCCAGGCCATCCACCAGCATATGACGGACTCGACGCTCCTAGATCTACCAGGAAGCTTGGAATGACTCAGCCTACGCCTGCGAGCAGCTTCGTCGGCAACTCCCTTCCTCGTGGCCAAACGCTGAACATCGCCGTCTCGCCGTTCTTCGGGGGCGCGTCTACGAACACCGCGGGTCCGTGACTAAAGACCAAGACCCATCTCGCACGAAGCCATCCGAGCGCGCGAACTTCCTCAACGACGTTGCTGGCCGTCTGCCACCGAGGACCCGTCGCTCTTCGACGGCTACGCGCCTCATGAAGATGAGATGAAGGAGACTTTCCGTCTTACCCAGCGGCGCAAGTATAGGTGCAGTCGACAGCGGGCTCCGAGGCCTTGCCCCCGGAACATGCAGCTGTTTCAGAAACATTTCTTCCTGATTAGGGGAACAAAAAGTGGCATGAACATAAAAACTCGGAGGTCCGGGCGGATTTCTCGGATCCGCGCTGGACCCCCCTCCCTGGCGCGCGGAGCGCGCCAGGGGCGGCGCCCGAGGCGCCGCCAGGGGGGGTCCAGCGCGGATCCGAGAAATCCGCGCGGACCTCCGAGTTTTTATGTTCATGTCACGTTTTGCCCCCCTCCTGATGGGCAGCCGCCTCCTGTGGCACTCCAGGACTGGACGTCTGGCGACGAATTCGACTACAATCAGGGCGCTGAAGAAGGAACCCTTCTCGTTGGGGAGGGGCTCGGTGTTCCTTGATTGTTTAGCAGCTTGCCTCAGGTCTTCCTGAGGTGTTCGATGGGAAATCGAAATTGAACTTATGGGTTCCCATGGGGAATCGAAGTTTAAGTTAAGGGAAATCGATGGGGAATCGACGTTTGCCTTGGGCTTTCCTTGGGTTTTCCGTGGGAAATCGAAGTTGAACTTATGGGAAAAAGGGGGCCTCGTTCCTTAATTAGGGTTCCTTAGGGTCAACGCCCCGACCGTGCCACTTCGGCTGGCTCCCGCGCCGAGCCAACGGCGGCCCCCGCACGGCGCCGCACGGGGCCGCCCCCTCCAGTGGTCCAGGGCGCAAGCCACCAAGGCCTTGGCTCGGGCTGGGCTGAGCCCGCTGCTGTCGCGACTTCGGCGACGGCTGTACTCCCTGGCGCAGGAGGGGAAAAAGCACACGCAGACACAATGAATCGTCGATTCCCCAGAAAATATGGGAATTATGGGAAGTGGGGGGGAAGACAAAAAACCAGAAAATATGGGAAAAGATGGGGAATCCTTTTGTTTGTGTGTATTTATTTGCGTGTCCCAGGGCCCCTTCACTGGCGCTCGTTCCGAAGGTGATGATGTCTCTCTACAGGGCGACCCCCATGATGTTCCCCACGGCGAGGAAGCTGCTGAAGCCTTCCTCGTGGACATGTGCGGCGCGGGGGCCGCGATGCTGGCTTCGTGCCTTTTCCGACCTGGTGGCGAACCAGCCATACCCTCTCTCGGAGCACGGCGACTTAGACCGCATGCGCAGCGACGACATCAGTGACCTAACGGGCTTTAGGGGCCCCGCGGCCTGCGCGGGCGGCGGGCTCCGGCGGCAGCGGAGCAAAACCGCCCCCCACCCCCTCTCCCCCAGGTCGTTCGATCTTCCCCCTCCTCCTTATCATCTTCGCTCCTCTTCGATTTCTCGTGTTCCTCCTCCTGCTCCTCCCCGCCTCCTCCTCCTACTCCTCCTCCTCCTCCTCCTCCTCCTCCTCTCCTCCTTTCCTCCTCCTCCTCCTCCTCTCCTCCTCATCCTCCTCCTCCTCCTCCTCCTCCTCCACCTCCCCATCCTCCTCCTCCTCCTCCTCCTCCTCCTCCTCCTCCTCCTCCTCCTCCCCTCCTCCTCCTCCTCCTCCTCCTCCTCCTCCTCCTCTCCTCCTCCTCTCCTCTCTCCTCCTCCTCCTCCTCCTCCTCCTCCTTCTCCTCCTCCTCCTCCTCCTCCTCCTCTCATCTCCATCATCATCATCTCCTCATCATCATCATCTCATCATCATCATCATCATCATCATCATCATCAGCAGCAGCATCATCATCATCATCATCATCATCATCATCATCATCATCATCATCATCATCATCATCAGCATCATCATAATCATCATCATCAACATCATCATCATCATCATCATCATCATCAACAGCATCAACAGCATCAACGTCATCATCATGATAATCAGAAGCATCGTCATCATCAGCATCATCAGCAGCATCATCATAATCATCAGCAGCAGCAGCATCGGCATCAGCATCAGCAGCATCATCAGCATCAGCATCATCATCAGCAGCAGCATCATCATCACCAGCATCATCATCACCATCAGCAGCAGCATCACCATCATCATCATCTTCAGCAGCAGCATCGCATCATCAGCAGCATCAGCATCATCATCAGCATCATCAACAACATAATCATCAGCAGCATGAACATCATCAGTATCACCACACGCGTCGTCATCATCAGTATCAGCGTCAGTATCATCATCAACATCATCAGCCGAATCATCTTAAGC